GATAACTGTGGTGGGGGAGGGGTGTATGATAACTGTGGTGGGGGAGGGGTGTGTGATAACTGGTGGGGGAGGGGTGTATGATAACTGTGGTGTAGGGGGAGGGGTGTATGATAACTGTGGTGGGGGAGGGGTGTATGATAACTGTGGTGTAGGGGGAGGGGTGTGTGATAACTGTGGTGGGGGAGGGGTGTATGATAACTGTAATGGTCAGAAAGATCGACCCAGCTTAGACACGCATACCTCAGGGAGACCGCTTGAATTTGTACCTTTTGAGAGATCCTTAATTTCTAATCTTTAAAGTAATTATCTCTCCACCATTGCTCAGATTTGGAGTTGTGGTTTTATTTTGTGTGCTTTGTGTTTCTGATATTTGGAACACCCTCGGGATGTCTCTGGAAAGGCAGTTATCCTCACAGGTGACTCCTACTGAGTCCCAGCAGGTTCTAGAGTGGTGAGCTCACCCATTGTCCTGGAGCTGCCGCCTGCCCCCCTTTATATTTTAGTGACTGGTTCCAGTCTACCTACACAGGGAAGTGGCCCTCACTAGCTGTGCTTCTCTGAGCATCAAGTGGGGTTGTCTTCCCTCACTGCTCCCCACTCCCCATATTGAGAAGTGGCTTCTGTTCCATTTTATATGCAAATAGCAAAAAACCAGGCACCTTTGAGTTTCCTCCCTGGCCACAGTGTCGGGTGTCATTTTCAGTGTTCTGCAGACTGTGTGTTCCCTGGACTTCTAACATAGTTCCTCACCTCAGTGCATGAGCACTTGACGCCCCAGCAGCTGGGTATATTCCCAGTTAGGTTCCCAAGCTATGCTATTACAAGAAGAAGTCTTTTCCTCTTATTAAAAAAAAATCTTATCTACAAGGAATGGAGAGCTAGCTCAGTGCTTAAGAGCACTGACTGCTTTTCCAGAGGTCCTGAGTTCAATTGCCAGCACGACATGGTAGCTCACAGCCATCTGTAATGATGTCTGGTGCCCTCTTCTGGTGTGCAGGTGTACATGCAAATAAAGCACTTGTGTGCATAAAATATATAAATAAATACGCTTAAAAAATCTTATCTACATATGTAACCCCAGTATCCTGCCTATTTTAGTGTGTAATTGAGATGGTTATTAACGGCTTCCTTTTCTCCCATTAAAACCACTCTCACTCGAAAACAGAAATATTCTCAGAACTTGGAATTATTAAAATTTGTGATTTTTGTAGCCACTAGTGTTAACAATATAATGATCCGTTCTGAGCTTCCAATGACTAGACTAACGATCTAATTAAGAATTGGCCAAGTTAAGCTCAAGTGTTGCCTGCTTTATTCTTAATTTGTAGACTTGAATCGTCATGTTCCCCCTCTACTAAAGAACCGGAAAGGAAAAGAAAGGAGTTGTTTTCAATGGTCTCAGATCAACCAAATCATGAAAAAGAATTAAACAAGGTATGGAATGTGATGAGATCCATTCTTTCAGCTCTAAAGTCTCGGCATAAAATTGGCTTTAAAATCTTCCTTCACGCTCCCTTCTTTTTCCTGCTGTACGGTCTCCAAAAGAAATAATCCACCAAGCGGATAATTCTGATATTCTGTGTGAACACAAATCTTGGGTTACTCTGCTAGCGGGAGACTGCAGATGAAATGTGGAGGCGTGCCTCTGTGAGCGAGTGCAGGCTGGTGCTCAGCATGTGGGTGACCTTGGGGGACCTGCCTGCACACCTCATCTAGGACGGGGCGGTTAGTACTGTAGACAGAGTGAACAAACGTCTGTCACCCAGAGAGGGCACTGACTATAGGTGGGGGAAGGATTCCACTCAAGGCTCACTTGGCACACCAATGAGTTTATTGATTACCCTCAGAAGGGGGCATAGTTACAGGACCGTGTGTGACTCAGAGGCAGCTCCATCACTGCAGAGACCTGCAGGAGGAGGATGCATCACAGAAGCTGCATCCCTGGGGCTCTTGGCTGGCAGCTCTCCTCGTCCCATCAACTGTTAACTGCTGAGAACGGTGGCTGGACTTGGGGTTCCTTACACCTTTCTGGGCCCCTGGGCTTACCTTGCAAGGGGTTGTTAGTTTCCTGAGTCTTATAAGCTCTGTTTTCAATGCCAGAGGGATTGTCTCAACTCAGAGGAACGAGAAACACACCTTTCAACACCCTGAGGTTATGATGGGGGTGAAATGAACGGGTATCTGTTGATACTCCTGTGGCTCTTACCGTGTGCCAGGAACAAACTGTCCCAAGGACTTAACAGCCTAACGTCACTCAGTCCTCACAATCATCTTTAAAAATGGGATCTATGTCATCCTCTTTTTGCTTTAGAGAAAACTAAGACACAAAGAAGTTGAACAGCTTCTCCCACACTACACAGTAAGTGGTAGACACAAGTTTTGAATGTAGGCTATCTTACCCCAGAGACTACATACCAACCTCTGTTAAAATCCAGGAGCTAATGCAAGTCACATGCTTAGAACAGGGCCTGGCTCAGAGGAACACGTGACAGATGTGGCCACACCCACATTTCTGAGGGCCCAGCATAGACCAAGCACTCTGCCAAGAGCTGAACACCTTAGATGAGGAGGGCATGGACATGGTTCGTACGGAGTCTGCGGTTCTTCATTCTCCTGCAAGCAATATGTCCTCCTTGTAATTATTCCCCAATTGCAATAGGAAATACATTGGAATGATAGAGCCTGACTGGGGGTGGCAATTCATACCAATAATCCTAACACTTGTGGATGCTGAGGCAGAAGGATCGCAAGAAGTCTGAGGCCAACCTAGGTTATATATCAGGACTCCGTCTCTACCCTTCAGCCCCTTAAAAGACAGATCCTGGCAGAGCTGGCTGAGAACAAATGCAGGTCCAGCACAGAAAATGTGTGAGATAGCAATTGCTGTTTTCTCCTGTTTTGAACACTGATACCATGTAATCCCATAAAACTGATTTTACTGATTTTAAAAATATAACTTCCAAAAACTGCTCTTTATTGGTATTCCCAGAGATTGTGCCACGGTAAAAGGGGTGACTAGCACTGTGTGGAGTTGGACTCTCCTGGAGCTCAGAGGCTTCCAACTGAGTCAGAAATACAGAGTGAAGAATCCTCTGAGTCAGCCTCTGAGGTGGAGGGAGAGATCAAGGCCCAGATCTCCCAGGCCCCTAGAGGCCCAGGCAGCAGCACTGTGCAGGGCAATGGTGGATGGCCAGGGTAACTAGGTGCAGCTTCCAGAAGTGTTGGCAAAGAGCATTTCCAGTCCATTGTAAAGACACCAACAAGTGCCATGCACTATGAATCTCGTGAGTGGCTTTTCTTTTGTGGGTACAGAGCTGTTTTTAGTCACTTATTTTGTGATAAAATTCACATTTAAAAAAAATGTCATGTCATTGGAAGCACCGATAAATTCATCTCATTTAGAAACACACTCTGTGGAAGAGCATGTTGTTTTACTATCTAACTAATAAAAAAAAAAAATCTTAATCCTCTTTCAGAATAGCATATTCATTTTCTTAATTTTCTGACTTTCATTTTTAAGAGGACCATGCTAAAGTATACCACAGGAATATAAACAGTAAAATCTAGACTGTCACACTGCAGAATAATATGGTTGATTCACCAAATAAACTGCAAGGAGGAAAAATAGAGAGATGGGAATCAAAGAGATTCAGAGGGGGTGAGCAAGACAGCCCAGTAGGTGGAGGGGCTTGCTGCTAAGCCTGATGACCTGAGTCCCATCCCCAAGAGTCATGGTAGGAATGAACCAACACCTATGCGCTCTCTGGACCTCCACATGGGTGCTGTAGCATGCACGTGAACACACAAACAAATGAGACTCTTGTTTTGGCAAGCTGGATAACACACCCCTGGTTCCTATTTGCTGAATGGCAAAGTTGGGACCATGTGATTTCTAAGTCACATTTCTAATCTTAGTAATCAGAGCAGGACCAGATAAAGGAGTGGGTGGTGCCTAGCCTAGGATGCTGCACATTGGCCTTTGGACACAGCTACCCCTGCTTTAGGTCATCTTTCCCTGGGTGTCTGTCCTAAATCCTGGCCATCCCAGTGTGCAACCCACTCTGGATGGGGGCACAGGTTTGGAAGTGACTGCCTTTCATGAGGACTGTAACTGGAACATGAGATCATGGGATGGGATGAAGAGACCAGACACACACAAAGAGAGAGCAGAGTGGAAAGAGAGAGCCAGGCAGGCGTGGTGAGCTCCTAATTCAGTTTCACAAACTTGAAGAGCATTGGAGATCGGGACAATTTGACATTGGAATTCTGCCTGACTATTTGGTGATGTGGAAGAAGTGATCGTGAAGACACTGTGAGGGTGTTCTGCTGGGAGAAAGGACAGAGAAAGAGCCCTTACTCCTTTAGAGATACACACTGGGTTTTCAAAGAGGAAGTGTAGAAGAGTCACTTCTCACCTTCCAAGTGTCTGAGCATATTCATGTATGTCTCTGTGGATTTCCTTGGTTTCCCTCTCCGGCCTTATTTCTTGGCACACAGATGATCAAAACACTCCAGGCTCCCTCAGTGAACACAGCTCTGTGGCCCACCCTGCTGCATTGTTTGCCTGGGAGTTTTCTCCTGCCTTTCTGGCTTCCATCTACCCTTCAGGATTTGGGGGAGACTATCCTGATACCAGCCCCCCTCCCCACCTCTCAGCTGGGCTAGGCACCCCCCAGGGCATTCCTCAAACTTCAGTTCCTACCCCGTGCTGTGAATATGTCTCTTTTTCTCCCCCTGCCCCATAGGTGTGTGTTCTTTATCTGTGACTCCCAAGCGTGAGAAGCAGGGGGTAGTCTTTAAAACAATGCAGGGGAGTGTGAACAAGCGTGAGAAGCAGGGGGT